AGCCGGAAAAGCTCTCCCCCTAACTCCATCCGTGGACACTTCGTCTGGGCCCCATGCATCGGGCCTGCCGCGGCAACCGAGATCACCAGGATGATCGGGAGGTGGTCCACAATGCCGCTTAAATATGAAGGATTTTTCAACTTGTCCAAAAGCATCACAATTCTTCCCACAGACTGGAGCTTTGATCCAAATACTTCCGCCAACTCCTTGGTGTCTTGGGCTTCCTTTTCCTCCAACATTCTATACTGATTGTTGCAGAAGAAACACCACCAAAAGAAGACCGTCTCAGAGCAAAAGTTGGGAACCTTTCTGGCCTGCTCCCGTCTCCAATGCTCCATAGCAGATTTGACCATGTGCAGCTTGTAACCCCACACCCATGATAGAAATTGGTTTGCCGGAGCACTCTTGCCGGCTGACTGCAATCCATCAACTATGCTAGTGTCTTGCCTGCCATCTCTGGGGCAGATTTTGCGGAAGCCCAAACCGTGCTCTCCACAAGCTACGACGGAAGCCATTTGAATGAAATTCGGATCATTGGGATGCGTCGTCTTTCGCGCCGACCGCCATTCTGGAGGAGGTTCTGCTTCCGAGCCCCCGAACCTGATCAAGAACCCAGGTTTACTAAGGGCAAAGCCGTTGCTTTCCCGCCAGTCCAACTTCTGCATTCGTTGGACCACGTCATCTTCAAAGGTACTAAGCACATAGTCTAAGCTGATCCCCAGCTTCACGGATTCTTCCTTAGCCGAATGCTGCAGGTGGCGTGCAATGTCCAAGGCAGATTGCCACTGCACTGATGCCAAATCATCGGCGATTAGCCGAAGGCTCTGCCAATCCCTGGTGGAATGGCATGTTTTCAGGATATCACCCACAAGGCTTAGGGCTTCATTCTGAAGGTGATGAAAGCCTTCTGCGGAAGCTGCCAACCACACGCTAGTCGTCGCCGCTGCTTGGGCTTGCCAATCGTTGGGGGGTCTCTCCACATCAAAGTTGGCAATCAGCAGGTCCAAATTCTTCTGGATACTGATTCTCTTCAGTCGCTTGGCAGCTACACGATGAAGGCCAACGAGGGCGAGCGCCAGCAACAACACGGCACAGAAGCACAAAGGGACGTGCCACCAAATGCAAACGCCGTTGAGCGGCAAACGCCATGAAGAACATCGTTGGCAGGAACCCTGGCCAGGTTGAGCCACAGTGCTGGGCTCGCACTTCGCGCATCGAGTTTGATCGGAATTTGGAACAAAGCCTTGCAAACATTCAGCACACTGCGCTGGGCCCTTTGCCAGTTTGAAGCGTCCCACTGGGCAGGCCTCACAGCCATCCCTGGCTGTGTTCGGGATCCGCCCAGCGGGGCACTCGGAGCACACCGACATCCCTGGAATTGCAAATTGGGAGCCGGTGCAATTGTGACAGCCTCTAGCGTGGAAGGAAGGAACCTCACCGGCTGGGCAAACTGAGCACTCAGATCCACCAAGCAGCTTGAACTTTCCAGGGCCACATGCCTTGCCTGCATTGATGGCAATAAAGGCCCCACGGGTCGCCCAAGCATGCTCAACTCCTTGGAAGTTCATGGATTGGCAGTCTCCTCCGTAGCCACTCTCTCCCCAGCACTGGCCTTGACCAGATGTGGCATTCAGTGCTAGGAAAGCACCATACGATGAAAACACCTGCTCGACGCCATGAAAGTCTACGTGCTTACAATCTCCCCCTTGGTCTGTCATGCCCCAGCACTGCCCTGTTCCAGCATTGCTGTTCAGGGCCAGAAATGCGGTTCCCGTTGAAAACACATGGTCCACACCTGAGAAGTTAATGTCCGTGCAGTTGCCGCCATACTCTTCAAAACCCCAGCATTGTCCCATGCCTTCTGCAGTGCTCAAGGCTAGAAAAGCTCCGCTGGTTGAAAAAATGCGGTCAACTTGACCAAAGTCGATGGACTCACAGCCTTTTGCCGCGCGGCCCCAGCACTGGGCACGTCCTGTTTTGGTGTTCAATGCGAGAAAAGTGGAGCCACTCGCGAAGACTTGGTCGACGCTGGTGAAGTTGATGAGTTGGCAGCGACCTGCATCCGCTTACCTAGCTGCGCAAAACATATGAAAGGCTGAACGCTGTGATAAAACATGGGCGATAAGAACAAGAGTGCAACAAAAATGCAAAACCATCAATCAAGCCCCAACCTCCTGCAGCGCGTGAGCCCCAACACCGGCCGATTCCGTCTTTTGTGTTTAATGCCAAGAAAGCCGAGTTTGTAGAGAAAACGCGGTCTACTCCTGTAAAGTCAATTCTGCTGCAGTCACCGCCTTTGGCAGCATCGCCCCAGCACTGGCCCTTTCCAGTTGCGGAATTCAACGCCAAGAATGACCAGTAATTGGAAATGATAAGATCTACCCCATCAAAGTTTACGGATTTGCAGTTCCCCCCAAACGCAGGATCGCCCCAACAAATACCATCGTTGTGCTTTTTGATGGCCAAAAAAGCCGTGGCTGTCGAGAAAACTTCATCAACTCCAGCAAGGTTCAAGGAACCGCAGTTGCCTCCGGCATGCTGATTTCCCCAGCACGTGGCTCTTCCATCTGTGTGAACGGCTAGAAAGGCTTTCTCAGTGCTGTAGACACGCTCAACCCCGTGAAAATCTACAGAAGGGCAATCTCCTCCTTCTCGATGGTATCCCCAGCACTGTGCCCTGCCAGCTGATGGACTTAGTGCAACGAAGGCCCCTGCTGTTGAAAAAATGCCTTGAACGGAGGTAAAATCAATGTTTCCGCAATCTCCTCCAAATACAGAAGGACCCCAGCACTGCCCTGTGCCTTCAGCCGTGTTGAGCGCCACAAAGGAATAATCGTTCGAAAAAATGCGGTCAACTCCAGTGAAATTGATGGCTTTGCAGTCCGCTGCAGCACCTCGACCCCAACATTGACCTCTGCCCTCTGCAGTGTTCAGAGCGAGGAATGCCCTCCCATTTCCAAAAACACGATCAACTCCAGTAAAATTGATGGCTTTGCAATCTCCTTCGGGAGGTACGCCCCAGCAGTAGCCAAGGCCAGCTGCAGAGTTCAATGCCAGGAATGCATGTTTGGCCGCAACTACCTGGTCTATACCACTGAAGTTGATCCCCGCACAGTCCCCGCCAAAGCGCGTGTACTCGCCCCAGCACCGCCCAACACCTTCTGCAGTGTTCAAGGCCAAAAATGCATAATTTGTTGCAAAGATATGATCGACTCCAGTGAAGCTGATCGCTTTGCAAAGCTCCGCTTCTGAGCCCCAGCACTGGCCTGTGCCAGCAGCTTTGTTGAGGGCCACAATGGTTGAAGGACGGGAAGCAATCTGGTCAACGCCACGGAAGTCGATGGACTTGCAATCCCCGCCTCTTGATGCCCTCCCCCAGCATTGGCCGGTGCCTGCTGCAGAATTCAACGCAACAAAGGCCTGGCTGTTAGAGAAGATCCCATCAACTCCAGCAAAGTTGATCTCATCACAGGCTCCACCGGCAAATTCGCTGCCCCAGCAAATTCCAACTGGGCCCTGCTTAATTGCCAGAAATGCTGCTGACGTGCTGTAGACATTCTTGACATTGCGGAAATTCAATGAGCTGCATTTACCACCCTTTGATGTGTCACCCCAGCAATATCCCACACCAGACTGACTGTTTACCGCCAGAAATGCTACGTCTGTGGAGAACACACCATCGATTCCAGTCATGTTATCAGGTGGACAAGTCCCACCCACTGAAGCAGGACCCCAGCACTGGGCTAGGTCGGCATTGCTCCTGTGGCCAGTTTCTGCAAATCCGTCGCTGCCGAGAGCATCTTGCACAAGTGCCAGGATTGCCAACACCCGCCAACCGCGGCTGATGCCAAAGCCGCTGAGGTAGACCCACAGCTTCTAGGGAGCTACTGTAGTTGGTCAACTTCAAAGAGCGACTGCCTACGAAGCCCTAATCAGCCACAAAGCAACCTATGGGAAGGATGCGGGGAAAGGGCCAAAAGCTTGCCAGCATTGTGATTTCCCAACTGATGCCGGTGATGCTCGACTCTGCCCAGGCGGAGTCAACATCTGTCAGCATTGCAGCCTGGAAAAAGTAAAACATGAAAAACCATCAACTCGAGTCAACGGAAGTGGCTGTTGGAGCTGCAGTTTGATCCACAATTGCTAAGCCTGGCTAAGGCCAGAACTGACGCAGCTAGCCCAGGCAGGAGTGCAGCCACTGCCTGCTGACCAAGGATTGTCCAGGGAACGTTTCATTGTGAGGGCTGCCGCGTTGGCTGGAAACATCATGAAAGCTCTATAGGATTCTCACCTCTCTCCGCGAGGGGCACGGCGATGGACTCCTCGCGGGATATCCCAAGCAAACAGTCTCAGCCACCGAGCCACTCCCAACGCAAGTTCAGCAAAAAAAAGTCAGAAGCGCCTGTTCTCGGAGAAGCCAATACTTCTAGAGCCTGATAACAGATGCATCTGAAGCACGGAATCGCTGACCCACCGAATCCTTTAAAACAGATGCCATGCAGGAGAATGCATAATGGCGCCTGCGAAAAGAAGGGCGACGGCCGCCACGGCACCGACCTCGCCAAAGTTGAGCTCCTAACATATACCTTAAGAAGGAACCCATGTCCATTAATTATCTGGGCAATATTGACTGTAGCTCATATGCCCTGGAGCAGCAGCAGCAGCAGCAGCAGCCGCCGCCAGCTCTAGCGGTAGCAGCATCTATCTATAATGCCAAAGGCATATGCTATGGCCGGCCTGAATACCCAACATGCCATCTGTTTGAAAAAATGCTCGCCCCCACCAGATTTTGAGGAGCTTGCAGCTGTTATGGGCCTGGACCGCCTTGGCATGGATGGGATTTTCAACAAGCATTTATGGTCAGAACACAATTCACTCATATGCTGCGATTCGAGATCAGCATCTGGCCTTGGCCGCTCGGCATAGCCGCCGCCTTCCCTGAGGACATGTTCTTCCGTCCTACCCCAGCTCGCTGCCCTCCCCATAAAACTTCTATCCCAGTTGCAGGATCCGTCGCCGGCCACGCAAAGGCAGCATGCTGCCTTCCAAGAGGGCCGTTGGGGTTAGAAAGCTGTTGGGGTGCTTGGCGGCTTGGCATTGCGGAACTTTTTGCAAGTACTGACCTGATCTAGTCCAAGCCCACTTGAAGGACTTGACCAAATGGCCTTGTCCAGTGTGACTCTAAGCGTAAGCTGCCCACACGCGGCCAGAGCCAAGAAAGTGTTGGCAGGCGACAATGCAACGATTGCAGTATGAAGGCATCTATCGCGTGAGTTTGCAGGGGTTGGGACAAACAGGTGCAGCACCATGACACAGTGCGAAGCTGTATAAAGCGGTGGCAACATGTGACGGGGCTCCTTTCAGCTGTTAACAAACAGTTGTCTGAGCATGTGAGCGCAACCGCGTGAAAATGCGCAAGCAGCTCTCACAGGCCAGAGGTTCTGCAATTGCAGATGCGACTGGCTCTGATCACATGCGCGTGCGCAAGCTACGCAGCTAGCATCACATGCTACAGTGGCAACGCTAGAGAGCGTGACCTAATCGTCGGCTATGCAAAGCCGTAAGCGCAGCCTGGTAGCTGCTACAGTGGCCAAAATTACTACGATGGCTAGCATGTATGTACGAGTTTCGGCTCGCAGGTCTGTTGCTGCGAGCCTAGAGGTTCTTGAGCACATTATCGACCAAAGTGTCGTCCGGCTTGGCGTCACCGGCTGGGTCCTCCTCGGAGGCTGCCACGAAAATCTCTTTCACCTCCATGTCGTCCACGATCATGGCGTGCCTCTTGCACCGGGGATTGCCCAGAGCGGACATAGGCCCTGGGTGCGTAAGCTCAAGACCAATCTCTTTGGTAAGGAGAGAGGCGCTGTCACCATAGAAAGACAACATCGAGCCCTCGATCTTCTGGTCTTTAGCCCACGCATCCATCACGGCACAGTCGTTCACCTCAGAGCCAGCTAAGATCTATAGGACTCTACATCAGACCTACCGCACAGACTTCTGGACCCGTCGAAAATCAAGCGCGAGTGCTCACATGCAAGGAATGCTTTACAACATGAACTTTGCCTCTACATGTGAACGGCTTGGAATATTCCTGGTATCTCCACAATTTCAAGCATCAGGTTGTTCAAGCTTCTGATGGCTTCTGTGCACGGTGGACAACAACTGGCTGGGCTGTTTGAAGGGACGTGCCCAAATGTGTGAAGGGCTAGCTTGCTTCCGTTATTTCATGCGAATGTTCGTCAAAAGTCCTGTATCGCCTTTGGTTTTGTGCAAGATACAAGAGTAATAGTGTCTGATGTTTGCGAGCACCGGCGACTGATGCTCAACAAATTCTCAGAATGTGACTGAAAATGCTTCGACATTTTCTCAAGACCACTCAAATTGCAATTCCAAGACAGGCACCCTTCAAATTTGTTTTTCATGTGTGATGTTTGCTTGTGGTCATTTCCTCATCAGCGACCAGGATAATCAAAGTTGAAGAGTTGTCTGGAAAGTAAATGCAGGGGTTCTCTGGTATCCTACACAAATGGTAAACTGTCATCCAGCTAACCAGCATCAGTTCCCACTAAGTCCTTCACGCAGTACACAATCACGTCAGAGATGCCCTTGGCCTTCAGCTCAGCTTGCTTAGCTAAATAGCCAGGGACCTGCTTGGAAGATCAGGTGGGGGTGAAGGCCCCCGGCAGGCCAACCATGACCACCTTCTTGCCGCCGATGATTTCCGTCAGTGGCATCTTCTTTGGGGGGAAGCCCTTGTCCAGCGTCACGTTGGGGAGCTTCATCCCCTTGGCGATTGTCTTCCCGGCGTTGCTCGCTGCACTGTTCCCCATGCTCACTAAGAACGTTCCAGGGACTACGCGTGACAACGCTTGAAAATGGCTGCAACTGCAAAAACCGATCCTGTAGCTAACAAAGCTTCCTTTTCACGCGAAAAAAACACTAGAACTCTGCGTTTAGATTGGGAGTTGTTGTGGTTTGAAGGCGGAGCCGCATCTTGTTCATCGAATCGACGCTCCATCCATTGGCCTAAGCGCAGCGCATGAAGGCAGGCCCTGGATGGTTGACCTGATTCAGCTGTACAGGTGGAGAACGCAGGTCTGTGCTTGTCCAACAAGCAGCAGAGCTTCCTATGATTCCTATGTGACAGCGAGCTGTAGCCTGCAATCGGGCACACTTTACAATTACAACTTCTAGAGATGCGGCGTTTGTGTCCGCAACAAAAGCTTGAAGGCTGCGGCTGCAAGGGCGCCGGAGCGCGAGTGGAAAACCAGGCAACTGAGAAACTGATGCTGCCATGACCTAATTGGTCTTCCCAGAGGTTCCCTGGGAGGTGCCTACGATTTGCATGGTTTGACGGCAGAGCCATCGTAGTGCTGATATGCAGTTGAGCACGCGCAAGCCGAAGGTTGGCAAACCATTGCATGCCCTACGCCCGTTCCTGGGGTGGCTGTTAAGGAACTGAAATCAAGCTACCATAATGGGTATAGATTAGTCATTAATATGGCTTCCCCAGTATAGTCACTTACATTAAGCTCCTTAACACAGCAACCCAGATTATCCATAGATGGCTCACTCACTTCTGGGAACGAGCCACCTCATTTGGCGCGAGCGATATCAAACTGATGCTGGCGGAACTCTTGCGGCTCAGACAGGCCTTCTTGCTCTCCTACGTAAAGACCCACCCATACTGTCCAATTTGTGGATCGAATCGTCCGAAAATCTGCGATGCCAATTCGCAGCCCATAGCCCGAACGTGCTTGTCATGCTGGCACTCAAGTTGAAGCAGCATATACACGGCACTGCTGCGTCTATGGCTCCGGCTACGCGTACTTGCGGTACCTTTTCAACTTGCGCAGCGTTTCACCGATAAAGCCACCAAAAACAGAGCTTACACTGGGATCAGCATAACAGGTCACATCTTCTGCAACTCCTCGACCGCGAAGAACATCAGCACAGTATGGCCACCACACCTGCAGTCATTAGCCCATGCACCATGGGGGGGGGGTGATTCCGCGACTGCTGAAGCGGATACATTCCGACTGAGGCATGAACCGCAAGCAGTACGGCATAAAGCCATTATAGAGGGCCATCGCGCCCTCCTTGCCTGCAAATCTGTGAAATACTCAAATAAAGCTGATGATGGCTACAAGGCGCTGCTTGACTCTTGAGGGAGCCAGGTTCCTGTGCGCTGTACACAGCAGTGGTGGAGGTTACAGAATCATGTGCACCAGTGCTGCGTTTCAAACACGCCTCTTGCATGCTTGAAGGCTGGACTTCGCATGAGCACTTCGATGCAGAACCCTTCCGCAGTCTGGCCTGCGACAGTTTGGATGGTCTGCATCGTGCCGCGATACCTGGGGCAAGAACTGCAGACAGCTTGAACTTCCTTGCGCCATTGGAGGCTGCTCTGGCGGGTTGAAGAACCACATGTGCTCACATCTACAGGTGACAGTCCTTTGAGTTGAATACCATTCCTCCTCAAGACTATGCAACTCTGCCAGGGTCACGGGAGTTTGCCGGTTTCCGGATCCGGCTTCTGCGAAGCCATGCGATTCTTCGCCGACTGGCAAGAGGAGGCTAAAGTTGGCTAAAGGATCCAGAGGGGCAAACAACAGTGACAGCATCCACCTCGCCATCACCAACCTCACTCTCACACGCACCCACCACCATCACCACCACCGCCGCCGCCGCCACCGCCGCCGCCGCTACCACCTCCGCCGCCGCCAGCCCCCCACCCCCACCCCCGCCGCCACTGCCGCCGCCGCCGCCGCCGCAGGCATCATCATCATCGCACTTGCGTTTAGAACGGTGATGACAGTACCTGATACAAAATTTAGCCAGACAATGCCAGACTGTAAACTGATGCCTGTCTCCAAAGTATCAGTATCTAGAGCAAGTGCCCTGGTCTCTGTCTGGTGTCTTGGTTACGCTGCTGCTGTAGGGAAGTCGGAGGTTGCACCCAGACAAACGTGGCAGGAAGCAAGAGATCAACGCCACTTGAGGAAAGACAAGAAGGGTACTCATATGGGGCCACGGAGAAGCCGCAAAGGCTTGACTGCCAAGAACCAGCTGAACACCAAAGTCGTTGCAAGATAGACTTCAGAATGGGAACCTTGAGGGTGCTTGAAACCTCTTGTGATGCAACGCATTGCAACTCGATCATCTCGACAAACAGCCACTACTCTCCTGGCAAATGGCACAGAACGACATGCATCTGCGCCCCAAAACTCAATCTCATCTATTATCCAACCTCGCATCTGCCCAAAAGAGTTAGGGAGATTGATAGGGACCTCCCTCTTTCGGAGCCACTTGGGCAGCTCTCAAATGCTGCTAACACTTTGGAGCTTAGTGTGAAACTGGAACCACGCCTGCTTAAGATGCAGAAGGCTGCATCTTGAACATGGTACCTAGACCCCACACCCATTAACACTCTACAATAAGGTTACAAATATCATCAACTGTTAATGAGTGGGGGCAGCACCCAACCCCAAAAATGTCTGGACAGCTGCTTGCTGAAGGAACTGTGAGCATGCGGCCTTTGCCTTCAAAATTATAACTGGAGGCCGACAAGGATGACTCTAGACAGGTTGTTATTAGTAGTAGTAATAAACAATGATGGTAACAATACTAATACTACTACTGATACTAATTACTAATTACTAACAATCTGTATAGTCGCAGCGTTGTATTGCAATGATGGAAAGAAGAGGAAACTATCTAAGACGCGCCGCCTCAAACGGCATGGTGATGACGGAGTAGACCTTGGTACAACATGCTTCTATCTGCCACCGTTGCTTCGGTGCCTTGCACCGCTGCCGTTGTGTAGCAACAATGGGAATAACACATACAAAATAAAAACACGGATACTAAATTAATAGCAATCAGAATAACAATAGTAATACAGCAATTATAGTCATAAAAGAAACATTAGAAGCAATAGCAGTAACTGAAGAATTATTGTAACAATAATCCAACTTGGAAGTGCACCAGCCCAGCTGTAAAGGAGGAGGCAACCACGTTGGAGGATCCCTGCGGGAGGTCACGTTTGCTGATTGCTCTGCTGACTCAATCCAGAATACAACCGAGACGTGCCTTAATTCCCAGGTTGCCATAGATGGTCTTGAACTGGTCATAAGTTGCAACCTGCGCTGGGGGGGACTGCAAATGGAATCGCCCCGCTTGTTAGTCTGAAGCTCTGTTTTTCCTGAAGCTGCGTACGTCTTCCTTTTTTGTCCCGCTGGAGGAACTTGAGGTAGTTCAAGGCATCTGCGAGCTCCGGTGGTAGCGGAGACTTGATCAGCATTCTCCGGCCTGCTCACGGTTCATACTGGGAGCACTTGGCTCATCTGATATCTGTCCCGTACCAAAGCTTGGGGATTTCGAAGGTGCCCTGCAAAGTCAGTGCGCAAAGCTAAGCCGGGCCTTCCAGGTCCATGAAGCCCAGGCGCCGACAATGCAAAAACATGCGAGGGCACCAGTCGACATCGCAACCTCTACACCGGGAACTGAACTCTATTCAGCGTGAGCTGCTTACGCTTGGCAGTCTGCATCATGAAATGACGTGGCCCAATCAGGACATTAGGGTTCCGCGGCTTGCCTTGGGGTTCTGCTTCGGGACTGTTTCAGGGATTGCTTAGGGGGCTTGACTCGAACTATTCTACAGAGGAGGTCTGGCAACCCCACATTGCATATCAGGCGCAGCTTTGGTGTTAAAGGCTAAACACGAGACTACTCTACCAGCGCAAACATAATGCTGAAGGCGTATAGCTCCACAACGAACCCGCAGGCCATACTCAGGGCATGCTTCATCCAAGTCAATCCGAAGTAGAAGCAACACAGCAATCCTGAAAGTACACAAGCCCAAGAACACACAACTAGAAAGCGCCAGGCTTTGCCAAAAGAACCGTACATCCATTCTGAATCTGAGTCTTTCTGCATTCTTCCCAACATACGCCGGAAGGCCCAGGTTTGGGAGGTGTTCCCTGCTGGGAGAGGCGATTTTACTTACAAACGTACAACTGATGATGCCCTGAGTTCCCTATTGGTGTGGTCATTTTTTGGGCAAAACACTACAATTCTGCACAAATTCGATCAAGCCAGCTTGTGCCGAAAGGTCATCTGCCCTTGTGGGCAAGTTTGGCGCTTACTTCGGGTATGAGTACTGGCATGTAGGGTCTTATGCCAATTCCTCATACAGCTAGACCGTTTAAGCTGATTGGGTTTGCAGTTAGAGAATGAAACGAAACCTCCAGGTTTCTAGTGGAACCTCCATCTGAACCAATGGGATTTCTAGAGGAACCTCCCTCTATGATAATGGAAAGCTACATCCAAACTTACCAAATTTCCAGCGAGCTCCATCTAAAGCGATAGCATCCTTATGGGAATGTGGCCCCACAAAATCGCTTCGCAGTTAAAGGGTGTCTTTTTAGGTAAACGGACACATCTGTGCCTGCCAGCACAGGCAACAGACTACACACCTAATAATTATAATGAAGCACAATACATCACAATACATAACGCTACCTGGCGCTGCATGAGCTTCAGCCAAACTGACTTGACTAAACCTTCAGGCCTGGCCGGTAGAGCTTGTCGCCCACCAGTGGTTGGCCAATGCCTGGGCGGCCAGCGAAGCAACTGCACAGAACTTGATGTCAGGATTGGTTATGTTGGGATAACGGAAAATAAAATGGAAACTATCAAGTAGTTTCCATTTTATTTTCCATTATCCTTATATAACCCTATAATACATACCTATATAGTCTATATTATAGGGTCGGTATAATATCGGGGTATGATATTGCAATCCAAAGCCCTGATGAGTGTAGAGCTGCCTCGCTGACAAGCTACTAGCCAAGTGTACGCGGATCTGATGCTTTCGGCCTCAGGAAAGCAAGAGCGTCACAGAAACAGAGATCAATTTGTGAGATTTGGTAGTTTCCCTGAATAGGGGACCCCAATATAGACCCCAAATGCTATAACCCTTATTGCCAGGGGCCCCTAAAAAGGTACCCTTAATTTTGGGAAACCAACATTTGTGGCTTCACAGACGAGAAGCCTGTCAAGATTCTTACCTGGAACAGGTTCAGCGACGGGGCTTTGCCGTCGGGACCTGGCTGGCCATCAGGATCTCTGAAACTTGCCAAGACGGTGAAGATGGTCCTTGCATGGGGCTGTCAACGCAGCTCTGTAGCTGGAAAGTGCGCAAAATCGACAATCTTAGTCCGGAAGCTAGGGCAGCTAGGGGCTCCTGGCAGGCCGGCCAGCTGCTGAAACTTCTTGCAAGCGCAAGTCTCCAGGCACTTCTCTGAGAGCTGTTGCTACTTCTGCAGTGAATCCAACTCGCATGGCGCTGCCAGCAGACAGGCAAAGATAGGACTTCGAGACAAGACGCGCTGCCCATTGGGCCCTCAACCAGTTTGTGGCACCAGCTGTCTCGCTCCCCAAACAAACAGGAAGAATACCAGAGGTTGGTTGGTCCAGGCGGGATGTTGAAGACACGGGAAGGCGGAGCTGTGCGCTAACGCACTCGAACACCTCCTCGGACAGCATCCCTGAAGGCTTGTCCACCACAAGCACCCCATGTCCACGCGCCAGAACCTTCAAGCCAAGCCCGTCCGCAGTGCCCGCAGGCTGTGGGTCTGTAGCATCCTTGCGCAGCCATACCTGCCTTAGGCGCTCGGCGAAGGCCGCAGCCTTGCTCCTGCCCTCAGCCCTGTGTATCATGGAAAGAACGCTGCCGGCTTGGGTTCCATCAGGGCAGGAAGCAGCAAGGACACCACACGCAATCTCTTCCGCAAAGAGGGCCACTGACAGCTGCCACAAGGCTTCTGATTCCTCAGGGGCCAAAACAATCCTTCGGCAGACTTGCGAGTTTTGGGCAGACGATGTACTGGTTTTCAGGACTGTGGACAAAATATCAGGACAATCATCAGCATCTACGAATATCCACGAGCCGGGTATCCGGTAAAATGGAGTCACCAATGTGCCAAGTAGGTTGAGTTGACCATCTCTATGTGCCAACAACTCGTGAATACTCGCGAGAGAGAAAACATGATAACATCCACGTTTGACACTTGCATAGAAATCAGAAACTGGTTTGCCACGGCAAGTTAATCAGTGCCGAGGGTCGCAAGAGCTGATCGCGGCAGTATACGTGACTTCCTTGGCGAAAGTCATGATTACAAACAACGCCCACTTCTAACAGCTGCAGCCTCAACCACAAATTTGCCCCTCAAATACTTGCGCCTCTAAAGCAGTCAGGCTGCAGGTCAACTACTACAAGTAAATGAATAGGGCAAAGCGTGTAAATCACGAAGCTTCTTTCCTCCAACAGGCCTTTTGTGCTGCTTCAGATCTGTGCAATTACGACAGCCAACTTTTTGTTTCGGCCATGCGTCCGTTTTTTGAAGCCCAAGTCGGTCAAAGTCGGCAAGCACGCTCAGTGCCTGCAGCGGGCAGACATGTCACGTCTTCAGCTGAAGTAGAGTGCAGTGGGGAGTCCCCGCCAGCTGCCACTTGCGGCCCTCTGCCGCTGCAGCGATCACCGAATTCAGAAGGATCTCGTCAGCTGCCAGGCCATCCACGCCTAAAGATGTAAACAGCTTTGTGTCAAAGGAACAAGATTGTTGACGTCAGCGCCCAACATCTTAAAGGCCTGGGCCTCCTTGACTCTCAGCAGCAAAGAGCTGCAGGGCCCACTGCCACTCGCTCATGCCCTCACACGCCGTGACGGCGGCGGTAAGGGCTTCCAGGCCAATGCGGACACGCACCTAGCGTGAGACAAAACCAGAGGTCAATTAGGTTGACTTCTTCTGCGAGAATGGCCTGCGCCATGTCTTTCAGCAACACCAGGGCTTCACACCAACGCCCAGCCTGGCAGCTGAACATGGCACCGTGCAACCTGCGAATCTTACGCCAAAGCTTCTCACAAGGAACGAATACAATTGCTCTCAAGGGAGCAAGGGTCAAGCCTGTACAGTTTGGTTGATAGCTGGCGAACTATCCGGCACAAGCTCCATGTATTCGTCATCACCCAAGCCGCAAATTTTAGCTGCTGGGCGTGCCTTCGAACAGGCATTGGTGGCGGCGCCGAAGGAAATCTCATCCTTGGTCAAAAAGTCGGGCACACAGCAACATGTAACTCCGCACGAGGGAGCAGACATGCTGTTGGCAGTACTTTAGCAGTGATGGACTGCAAGGTCATGAACATTCTGGCGGAAATCCCAAACCAAGACCTTCAAAGGGGCCTATAGCACAAGCAACGGCAGGGTCAGCTTGGCCGGCTGCACTTGGTCAAGAACTTTGTCATAAAAACTGAGGATCGATCCCACTCGATGCCTTTCCAGCCATCGCTGAGCAAGATCAAGCTCTGAACTACATTGCTAGGCTCATCGCAGAAGCAGCGCTCTTTTATGCTGAGTCAGGTGGCTACAAGCAAGGCTAGGAGACTCTCTTGTACTCCGTACTTCCGTCCGAAAGACATGCGCTGCACGTGCTCCACACTCAAGAACAAGTTTTGCAGCGGAAAGCACTAGCATGCCTCCTTCAGGCATCTGCCACACCAAATCTAAGGCGCGCTGCCATTCCTTTGCCTTCAGGTCAGGGCAATTCTTGCAGAGGATTGGAGCTGTAGAGGAAAAACATAGCAGAAGCCATCTAGAGTCCTCAGGAAGACTATTCAACTAAACACCTGCAGCGCCACCAGTATACACCATAATCCTCGTCATCATCCTGAACGCCGAACGCCATTCATGCAATCGCATCATCAGCAACGTCCTCCTCATCCTCATCATCAGAGTTAGTAATTAAATTCAAGCCCTGATTCAGAAAAGTCAAGACTGAGAAGCTCTCTCTGCAGCACTTGCGGCCTTCTCGCAGGCACTGATTGCGGCGTTGCAGGCAACAGTAGACCTGCAAGGCGCATGCATGGACACCCTCTACACTACACTCACATCGAACTGCCAATTCACAGTATTACCCTCCGAATCCAAGTGTCCAAGTAATTATAAAGGTACGAAACAAGGAGCAAACCCCAAGAAGGTGCGGCTGCCCTTGCCCTCAGACTTTTCCATGGTGACACATTCTTCGCTTTGGACGTGGAGCACGCTCAGGGCGTCTCACAGAAACCGGAACGCTGCAAGGAGGGGTGTAGCCCCCCCGCAAGCCCCATGGTCTGTCAAGCAATGTCTCAGTGCCACCTGCTTCTCTGCCAAGCCCTGTCTCAAGAAAGCTTCTATACAAGCAGAGAGCAGGAAACCTGAAGGACCGGACTGAAGACCACTACATTGGCTTCCTCAACTGTACTTACAGCACACAAGAAGTTGCTGCGAGACTGAACAAACATTCTCGCAGCAATCCACAGCACTGGCAATCACATCTGTACATCCGCGTGTTGTCCAACGACAGCAGACTTTGCATACCTGAACCAGGATTCGGCGCAGGGGGCGGGAAGCCAGGGTGCCCTAGTGACGCTCAGTGTGTCCTAGTCCGCAAACCCGATCTACCTTCAAATGCAGTCAAATGCAATCCGAGTGCTCTCGCGTCTGCTGCATGGTCTTCTCAAGGCGCTCCTGCTTGGTGGGTGCTGCCTGACATGGCAACTTATGCAGCAATGCATTATTGACCCTTCACAACGTTATTACCCCCTGTTTTCTTTGAAGATGCACTTGTGTTTTGAACTTGACCCCGTCGTCGCCTCGAGT